AACTTGAAATAAAATAAAATCCTGTTGATTCCATTCATTTAATGTGGTAAAATATAGTCACCAAAACAAGGTCTTTTAGAAATGGTTTCTGTTAGACATGGTGAGTACTTCTTTAATTCCAGCATTAGAGAAACACAGGCAGGAGGATTGTTACAAATTTCAGGCCACCCTGAACTACATAGTGAATTAAAAGCCAGACTGGCCTCTATAGAAAGATCTTGTCATAAAAATATGATTTAGATAAAAAATAATACTCAGCAGCACATTATTTTGTATTATGATACATGGAGTTTGTGTTAGGTCAATTCCTAGTGAAAGTTGTAAAACATTCTGTCTTAGTTAGGTAGGATTTTTTATTTCTCTGAAAAGACATCATGACCAATGCAACTCTTACAAAGAAAACATTTAATTGGGTGACTTGTTTACCATTTCAGAAGTTTGGTCCATTATCATCATGACTGGAGGAACAGATCAAGAATCAGAAATACATATAAAATAAGTGTTTGAAAGTCTTCAAATGAGCTGGACAATGATGGCACACATCTTTAGTCCCAGCACTCAGGAGGCAGAGGCAGGCAGATCTCTGAGTTCAAGACCAGCCTCATCTGCAGAGTTAGTTCCAGGACAGCCAAGGCTATACGAGAAACCCTGTCTTCAAAAACCAAAAAGAAAAAGAAAAGAAAATCTTCAAATGAGGCAGCTTGAAATCACTATTCCAAATACTTATATTAAAATTCCTCTTTGCCTCATACAGGTGTATTTACTGTTAATCCCAAAATTTTCGAGAAAGAAAGGACTAAGTCCACAATTGTCCAAATTAAAGTAAGCTCTATTTGGGTCTACCAGACGCTGGTCACCTGTCTCCTCCTAAGTTGGGGTTCTGAGAGCAGCCCCTATTGGCCTCTTGAAGTCCCTTTTATAGGAGAGATAAGGTGTTCACAGCGGGGATAAAGGGGCTGGCGGCTAATTGTAATTGTACAATTTGTACAATCTGTAATTGTACATTTCCTGTCCTAACTGACACCTGTCCCCAAATACCCAGCAGCCACTTCCCAAATTACCACACAGAGGCTTATATTAATTATAAATGCTAGGCTGATAGGTCATGCTTATTAGTCACTAGCTCTTACACTTAAATTAACTCATAATTCTTATCTATGTTCAGCCAAATGGCTTGGTACCTTTTCTCAGTAGGACATTCTCATCTTGCTTCTCTGTGTTTGCCGGCGACTCTCTGACTCTACCTTTCCTCTTGCCAGAATTCTCCTAGTCTGGCTCTCACGCTCAATCTCTTCCTGCCCAGCTATCAGCCAGTCAGCTTTTTACTAGCAAATGAGAGTAATGCATAGTCATAGTGTAGAAAAGGATTGTTCCACAGCAGCTACCTATTGTTAAAAGGATACTAAAATTTTTTGGTTGTGAGCCTAGTCTTTAACGGCTGAGCCATCTCTGCAGCCCATACAATAAAAGGGGAAGAACAAAGGCAAAGATACACATCAAAAGCCAGAATACACATGAAGTGAGCAGGGGTTGCCAGCAGTGTACTTCAGAGCAGGAACTTATTCTTGGTTACAGATAGAAGTCTTTATTAGCAGGGACTTGACATAGGACATATCTCTTAGCTAGGAACAGACAGGAATTGTTTTGACTATAAACAGAACTCTTAACCTACAAGGTGTATTCTTGGTTTCAGTTTTCCATTAACCTGTGAGTCATCCTTTTGGTTTCAGCTTTACATTTATTACAGAAAGAGGAATATCTTCTAAGAAAAACTTTTGTTTGATAATTCATTTCTAAAGAGAAGCCTGCCAGCCTCTTCTCACTTGAAAACAAACTACACTGCTAATGCACTATTATTAAATGCAACAATACCTTTTAATTGAATATAGTGACATATGACAACTTTGCATTTGAGTTATAGTTAATTTACCTCACAAAAGGCAAAAGCTCTTTGTGCATTACTTTATTTTGTTGTGCTAGAGACGGTACTCAGAGTCTCAAGCATACTAGGCAAGAATTCCACCACTGAGCAATATCTCCAGCCCTAAAAAAATATTCTTTTCTGGAAACAGAATCTTGGTAAGTGACCAAGCTGGCCGTGACTACACTCTGCAGTCCAGGCAGACCTGAGCTGTGACCATCCTGCCTTAGCCTTCCAAGCAGCAGACATTACATATAGGTCTGCCCCAAGAGGCCCAGTAATGGGTACATTTATAAAGTCACTTGTTCATGGCACAGCAGATTAAACTGCAATTGCCCAGAAAGAGACAGTGTGTAGGACAGATCGTAAAAGGTCTTATTAATAAAAACAAACCCGGAGCCAAGTGTTGGGGTGAATTCTGACAGATCAGAGAAACAGAACAAACCACATTCAACCTCACTTTGCCAACTTCTCAGCTGATCTTGTTTCCTCAGACTGAAAGCCTCTGCATCCTCATCTGAATGGATCTCAGCTGAACTGCTGCTAAAAGCTAAAAGTTTAAAAAGCTTAGTTCCTGGTACTCATGCCTTATGTACCTTTCTGCTTCCTGCCATCACTTCCTGAGATTAAAGGTGTGAGTCACCATGCCTGGTGTTTCCAGTGTAGCCTTGAACTCACAGAGATCCGGGTGGATCTCTGCCTCCCAAGTGATAGGATTAAAGGTGTGTGTGCCACCATTTTCTGGCTTCTATGTCTGTCTAGTGGCTGTTCTGTTCTCTGACCCTAGGTAAGTTTATTAGGGTGCACAATATATTGGGGGACACAATATCACCACAACAGTAATTAGCTGTAGCACTGTGATAATGGAAAATAAACCCTAAGGGAGCAAATGCCCCTTTAAACAAGATCTGAAGAGATACATTAACAATAGAGAGCTATGGAGATAGTATGGGGGTACAATGCTTATCTAGGATATGGAAAATCCTAGGTTTGAACCTCAGCAACACAGATGCACACACACACATACACACACTCCACAATGATAATAATACATTGGGAAAATAGTTACTTCTTTTAAGGGCATGTTTATTGGACTACAAGCCAAGAAAACTGAAAAAGTTGAGCTGAAAAGAGCTGGATTATAGGGCTACATTCTACCAGCTGGGTGTAGGATTAATTGAAGCAATTTGGGGGAGGCTTCCAAAATTAATGTAGCAGTCGTGAAACTGCTTGAGCTGGAGAACTTGAATGTGCCTTTTTCTGTCTCCGTGGTTCAGGAACACAATCTCTTATTAGGCAGGACAGGGATTACACACACACACACACACACACACACACACACACACACACACACACACACACACACATTCAAGGTCTCACTACACTGCCCAGGTTGACTTCAGCCTCCTAGATTCAAGTGATCCTCCTGCTCCAGCTTCCCCAGCAACAAAGCCTACAGGGTGTCACCATTGCAAACAAACACATTTGCATTCTCTTGTATCTTCCATATATACGTGTATATCTATATCTATAGAGAGAGATTTGCACATATGCATCTATATGTGTATGCTTGACAAATTAAAGAATTAAAGTGCTTTTGTGCATTATCACTAAATTCCTGAAAGTGGTGTAAGAAATGAGTTGTTACGGTTCATTTTCAGCGTGAAGTGTGCTACAGTTCATGGGCTGCGGATAAGCAGATATTCCGAGGCTTTGCTCTCTCCTAGCTGGAGGCTGAAGTCAGCTTACCTCACAGCTCCTGAGAGCTGGAAAAGCGCAGCCAGTCTGCTATGTGACAGCCCAGATCAAAGAAGGGAGACGGTGTGGAGTCCCAAATTAGTTACTAAATAAACTATCCTAAACTAATAAGATGGGGAATTTGGAAGGAGAGCAAGTCCTGGTCTATGGTAAGAGAGGACAAACATTTATTGTAATTAAGGAACTTCAAAAAGTCATTGCCGCTGGGTGGTGGTGGCGCACGCCTTTAATCCCAGCCCTGAGGAGGCAGAGCCAGGTGGGCCTCTGTGAGTTTGAGGCCAGCCTGGTCTACAAAGCAAGTTCCAGGAAAGGTGCAAAGCTACACAGAGAAACCCTGTCTGGAAAAGCCAAAAAAAAAAAAAAAAAAAAAGCCATTGCCTTGTGCCAGATCACCACCCCAGCTACTCTTGCCTCTTCTCTGCGCTTATGTCCCTTTTCTGCAGAATTACACACTAAAAAAACTGCTTTGTTTGCACAAATCTTTTGAACTTATTACTACGATATTTTTAACTGTGGTCATGATAAGTGGGTCTTGCGCTGTTCTGGAAACCGTGGATGTTTGCTCCACTTCTGGCTTACTCTGACAGGCTGATTAGAATCTCAGTACTGTGGAAAGACTGGATTGTTGCAGGCCAGAGGCTAATGACCTTGTCTTGGACTAACTTTAGTCCAGGGGAACAGCCATTTCTTGCTATCCCCTGTGTCAAAACTAACATCTTGGGATCTATCGACTTAGCAGACCCACTGACTTCTAGCAACCCCAAAACTAAGAATGTCACGAGAGAGTATCTTAAGGCTTATAGGAAAAAAAAAAGAAAGAAAGAAAAAAGAAATAAAAAGCCCCTCTGATATACCTATCGATGTATTTTATACTTCCCTTGATTTTGATTTAATTTTATTTGTTCTGTGAAACTATAAGACTGCTTCCACGTTGGAACAAGGAATTTGGGGTAACTTAAATCTGTGTTCCTGGGGCCATGGTCACTCCCTTTAAAATGAGAGCTGTGCTTCCTTATTCTTCCAAGAGTGCTCCTGGCAAGACGATTCGGTTCTTCCTAAAAGAGCGGAGGTGCAGACTCGGTTGGAATTCCAGCTCGGCAGTGCTAGCTCTCCTCAGTTTTCAAAGCTTGGTTTCCTCACTTCAAGTTCGCAGCCCAGAGACTTTTGGCCCTTGGAGCGTGGTTCACCGAGACTGTTCTTCCGGCATCCCGGGGCGTGGCCGCTAGGTGAGCGGGCGAGGCGCTTCTGCGGTCCAGGTGAGCCTGGCAGGTGCCCGCGGCCTGCCCCTGGGCCAATGGGCGACGCGGGTCCCCCAGCCTCCCGGGCGGGACCGCACTGCGCTCCGGCAATTGGCTGTGCCGTGGAGGCGGCCTGGGCCGCCGCCCGTGGGTCCGACGGAGCAGGAGCGCAGCGGCCCGGGAAGCGAGGCCTGGGGGCTGCGCTGGGTGCGGGGAGCCGCTGGGCCTGGACGTGGGCTGAGGCTTCCGGGGAGTGACCGCAGGCCACCATGAGCAGCCAGGGCGACTACACATTCAGGCGGGTGGCGATCCGGCGGAAGTCAGGCTCCTACCTGCCGCCCGGGGTCCCGCGGCCCTGGAGCAGGCCCTTGCCGCACTCGCCGCGGGTTGACTGCGTCGCTGGCCCGGCCCAGCCCGCAGGTACCGGGTGGGGGGGTGAGTGGGCGAGCGATGGGGGAGCGTGCCGTGGGTGGGCTGGCGGGGGCAAGGGGCGTGCCGTGGGTGGGTGGGGCATGCCGTGCGTGGGTGGGCGTGCCGTGGGTAGGTGGGCGTGCCGTAGGCGGGTAGGAGGGGGCTGCTGGGCCAGCGGCCAGCCGCGTGGATGGCGCGCCCTCCTGAAGTGAAAGGAAGCCGGGGTTAGTCACCCTCAGGACGCACGCTCTTTCTTGTTAGTTTGTTCTTTCTCCCAAAACTTCTTCAGCAAGAATATGACCAACTAGTTCTTCAAAAGTAAAGGTGTGTCTTTACAAAAAGTTTTATTAGGAATTATACAGCTCATAATTTTCTATATATTGTTATTTAACCTTCACTAAATTCCTTCGTTCAGTTAACCTTAGTTCCCTGGTGTTTTCTTCTCAGAAGAGGCTTCTTACTTTCTTGAGGGCAAAGTAATAAGTATTTACATTTCTGAATTCTGAGTCTTAAAAAGAAATCTTCTCACCATTTACCTTCGCGGATTGTGTAATGATTGAGCACGCAGCTTTGATTATTTAAATATGGTAAGTGAAAGCTGTACGGCAGAAAATCGTGATGGATGGTATGCTCTAAGTGCGTGCTCACGTTAGATAAGGTCGTGCTGCGAGAAGATTCGTGAACAAGGAACTGGATCACTGATATTCCTCCACACCCATTTCCTGCAAAAGTAGGAGACTGATGAAGTATTCCTGAGATCTCTTCCAGTTTGGCACCAAACTGAATAAAAATGTTTTCTTATTAAGTGAAAATGTTTTGTTTGGAAGGAGGTGTTTAGTCATCACATTTTGTTCATCAGTGTTTTTCAGTGCAGATACTGGGCTGATTCCTTACAGCATTGTTGAAGTGATACCACTTGATTTCTTTTCAAATGCTTTTAAGAGGTGATCAAGAGTGCAAGGACTCGGTATAGTCTATAAATTATTTCTGTAAATCAGCTGTGCTTATAGGAGTTCTGTCTGCTCTATTTATTTATTTATTTATTTGTTTGTTTTCAGTGCTGAGGATGGAACTCAGGGCACCATGGGTAAGCAGGCTACCACTCAGTATGCCCTAGTTATCTTTTCTTCTTTTTTTAAGTTTTAAATTCAAAGAAAATCTCATCTTTAGCACTTTAAGAAATAGAGTAATTATGGATGGTAGAGAAGGCTCAGCCGGTCAATTAGGCACTTGCTGCCAAACCTAGGACCTTAGTTCCATCCCTGGTACCCACATAATGGAAGGAGAACCCCCCTCCCCCAGACAGTCAAGAAGTGTAGTTTTAAAGGAAGGAAACAGCTTGTGGGCTACCTTTCTAGTTTTGTTACATTGTCTTTGTGCTGCTTCCTTCCTGGAACTCGGCCTTTTCTGTTGTTATTTTCAACCTGGGAAGTAATTACTTTTATCTGAATAGGTGTAGCTGTTCCCTTCACATAACGGTATCTGTAGAAACATAAGGAGAAATATATAGTTTTCTAAAAACACTGGATGGCCACCTCACCTTGTTCACTATGTAAACACTCTGAACAAGCTGGTCAGCACTGAGAAAACATGTATAGAGTGCTTCCTTTGAATCAAATGTGGCTTCCTTAATCATCAAACTGTTCATGATTAAATAAGTGTGTCCATCAAAAAGTAAACCAAAAAAAAAAAAAAAAAAAAAAAAAAAGTAAACCAAAAGCCGGGCGGTGGTGGCGCACGCCTTTAATCCCAGCACTCGGGAGGCAGAGCCAGGCGGATCTCTGTGAGTTCGAGGCCAGCCTGGGCTACCAAGTGAGTTCCAGGAAAGGCGCAAAGCTACACAGAGAAACCCTGTCTCGAAAAACCAAAAAAAAAAAAAAAAAAAAAAAAAGTCAACCAAGTTAATTCTTGGGAAGTGCCCATACATTCTGTAACTCTTGAAAAACAATTATATGTGAAAGCTACACAATTGAGGTGAATCAGAGTGGACAGTTCTCCACAGAAACGTTCCTTTTCTTAAAAAGGAACAACGTCGAGGAGACAAGGACATAGCAGAGGCTAAGCGAGAATGGTGGGAAACACTTGTGGTTCCAGGATTTGGAAGACCAATCTCTGAGGACTGCTGTGATTTACAGGGACCATAGGCTGCAGACTGAGATTTCAGCTCAAAAACAAGGCGAGCCAACGAGGCAACAACCACAGAACAACACCTGAACCAAATGGACGAAAAGAGAACTCACTTTATCAGTGTTTTTGCCGGAGTCTGTGGCTATGAAACACTAGTCCTGGAGTACTCTTATTTTGTGTCAAAATACTAAAAATAGCCAGGCAGTGGTGGCACATGCCTTTAATCCCAGCACTCTTTGGAAGGCAGAGGCAGGCCAGATCTCTGTGAGTTCAAGGCCAGCCTGGTCTACAGAGCAAGTTCCAGGACAGGCTCCAAAGCTACACAGAGAAACCCTGTCTCAAAAAACCAAAATAATAATAATAATAATAATAATAATAACAAAGTCTATAAACTCTACCTTTGCATATGCCTTAATGTTAAGTCCTTATCTGGTAAAGCAGAGAAGTATTTAGGACAGAAATTTGGGAGTCATGTAGCACTCATTATTAATCCAGTTTTTATCACTAGGTGTGAAATTCTTGATCTGGACAGTGGAAGTAGTGATACTTGGTGATTGAATGGTTAAAGTAAGGTTATACACATTAGTTGTCTGGAACAAAGCAAACATGCTAGATAGAATTATAACAGGGACCCGTTTATTCATCTCTACATCCCCCAAAATCTGGCACTAAGAAATTCTTTAATAGCTATTGAGTTAACGAACGACTGTCCTCCTACATGTTATAGTAGCTGTTATCTATTGAATGCCTTTTTTTCCAATTAAGAAATTTGTTGTGATACACATAAATACACATGCACAAAATTTATTCCACAAAAAAATCGTATTAGGAAGAGAATATGATGCCTGTTTATAGGTGAAGAAGTTGAGGCACAAAGAGCTTCACTAAGTTGAAGGAGTAATTAACTGGTGATTTGTGGGCCAGGACTCAAACTCGAATATGTCTGGCCTAGGACTGTGTTATAACTTCCCTAGGTAGTGTCTTGAGAGGCATTCAGAATTAACAGACTGAAAGATGCCAGGTAGACCTTTGTCATCGAAGGAGGATTTTAATGATTGTAGAGCCATTGTTTAATTTTTTTAAAAGAGAGTTTTACTATTTCATGTGTCTGGGTGTTTTGCCTGCATGTTTACCTACTGGGATTAAAGGTGTGTGCCACCGCACCTGGCTTGGATTGTCTTGTTATATTAGATAAAAGTAAAAATTATTATAAAAATGTAAGTGTTTTCTACCAAGTTGTGTAACAGATAAGGTTGAAATGGTGTTTCAGTCAGTTATGTGTTTGGTGTACTGGAATATCTTCTGTAGAAGCTTAGGAAATAGAAACAAAGGAGCAAAGATCATTGATTAGTAGGTTCCCACAGGAATATGACCTTCCTGTAACATCCACCAGCTGGAGATGTTTGGGTGTGTTCGTTCATGAACTGGACATGAAAGAGTATGGAACACATGGAGCGTGAAGGGAGTTTAAAGGTCCTTAGAGAAGCAGGAAACCCTGCACTTGAGGGACTATGATCACTTTGATGGGTAATAAATGCCAACTAAAGTATTTAATGAAGACTCCATCCCTTCCTTAAAGGAAGTACCTCAGATGAATGTAGTACTCATAATATGGCTCTTTAAAAACAAGTTTTTATGAGCTTAGTGTTTATGAAAGCCTATATTGAGATTTCCCACTTTTATTTTTGCTATATATTTGTAGTATAAAAACAGGTTTTGAACAAATTTGACTTGTTCTACATAAATGCTACTCTTTATTGCACTGCTTAGGAATGAGTAGGTTGCCAGATTACCTCTAGGACAATGGGCTTTTATATGGACAAGGACTGCATACTTAGGGTTATCATGCCATGCTCATCACTGCTGTGGTTCACAGGGTCTCACCTAGGTGGGGCTGTTGCCTGCCTCCCTCCTTTGGAAGCTTACATGGTGCCTTCTTTCTGAAGTGCAAGATATCTTTAGCAATAAGAACTTACCTTCTACCTCTGGAGGCAATAACCGTAGGCTGTAGGTTTTGGAAGTCTCTCGGACAGCCCTGGCCTCAAAAGAAGGCTTCTTATGTCTAGTTTTTGTTAGGTGACCTTTGGCCTTTAAAGAGAAAATTGTTAGCCCAGATGAGAAATATTCATTAAAACTAATGTTATTTATCGGTAGACTTAGATGTATTATAGGTTTTTTTTTTTAGGTAAATAGTTATTGTAATTTTACTTTCCTCCCTCCTTGTTCTCTATTTACCTTTCTTACCCCTCCCCAAAGAGTTCCCCCTTTCAAATATCCCCTATCAGATAACTTGTACCCTGTTATTTTCCTTTCTACTGCTCCAGAGCCCACCTATCCTGGAAGAGTCCTGTCTTAGTCAGTGTTCTATTGCCGTGAAGAGACACTATGACCAGGGCAACTCTTATAAAGGAAATCAGTTCACTGGCACTTGCTTACAATTTCAGAGGTTTAGTTCATTATCATCATGGCAGGGAACATGGCAGGATGCAGAAAGACATGTTGCTGGAGATGGAGCTGAGAGTTCTACATCTGGATCCACAGGCAACAGAAAGAGAGAGCCACTGGGTCTGGCTTGGGCTTTTGAAACTTCAAAGCCCACCCCCAGTGGTACACTTACTCCAATAAGGCCACACCTCCTAATCCTTCTCAAGTAGTGCAACTCCCCTGATGACTAAAGCATCCAAATATATGAGCCTATGGAGCCCATTCATATGCAAACCATCACACCACCTCTGGAACCAAAACTTCTAGGCTAGCTGAACTTAAGGTTGTGGGAACAGGAGGCAAAAATTTTCCTAGGAGATCACTAAGGGTGATAGTGAGTGGAACTATTCCCTTTCCACCCCTTGATTCCTGGACATGTAAATCCTGGCTATGGGAGA